TTCAATATGAGAGTCTCTGTCTCATAAATTGAGTTAGCTTCTTGAAATAGGTTTCTGTTCCTTCCTTAGCCATTGCCGTCCTCTGTTGGCTTGGCCACTACCTCTTAGGGATAGATTGTTGCTGCTCCATGGGAAAAAATTGTCGCTGTGAAATTGGGCCAGAAGTTGCTGTCAGCAACTTCACTGATTCTGCTTGGTCTTTCATCTTCTTCTCGAAGTCATCACAGAAGAGGTAGGGGGCAGCATTGTCAAAGACATCTTCTTTGGCCAGGTCCACAATACCTTGGTTTACAAACTTTAGTCACTTTTTCAGTCATAGTTGAGACGTCCCTGCCGCTGCATTTTCCAAAATACAAGTGGCATCCAATAGTGAGTCTCCTATTTAGTCTATAGTTAAGTTGGGACCCTCTTGATCAAAGGCACTAAGCAGCTAAATCAATAAACCAATAGGATCATGCATTAGCCCCTGTACTCGCGCCAAGTCTGCATCCCCTGACTTCACATCTCTCTGGATGGAGACAGTCTTAAAAATTGGGTCCGGCCTGGGGCATCGATGCTAGGGCAAGGGAAATCTTTTCTGAGATGTCTACACTCCTCCATAAACAGAGGGTTCTTATAGGCCTAAGCCACAATGCAAGTAAACTCTTCTAAAAGGATGATACTCATATTGTCACAGTTCGACTCCCGTGGCTCTTCCTCACCATCTGAGACAGGCCATTGGAGATCCTCTGAAGGTTTCTACATGAGCCTCCATTAGCCCAGTGAAATGAAGATTCTGATGCACATCTCTTTGAAGGGAGAGTTTCAACATAGTCATGCTCCAATAGGCCTACTCTGTCTGATATCTTCTTTATCTGCATGTTCAGGCTGTTCTCCACCGACTCTAACTTATCGAGGATCAACAAGTCAGTAGAACCCTTGTCAGACTTCTTGTTATTACTGGTAGTACTCTGTTTGTCACTACCACTATTACAGGCTATTAGTGAACTCTGTTCTAGCCCAGTAGCCATAGTGCATTTGGATGTAAAAATGTTGCCTGGAGATATACCAGATACCGTATAAGTGGATACGCTTGCAAATTTTGCGGATTCCACCGATTGACGAAAATAAAATCTGCAAAAATCAATTTTATGCGGTACCCGCATGGCACACGTGGTAGATCTTGCGAAATTAAAATCTGCAAATTGGAATTTTAGCAGATTTTGCAAAATATATATCCCTCGAAAAAACCACTTATATGGTACTTCTGTAGTTAGAAAAAAGGCCAATGTGGTCACACCAGGTCAGGGCTTATATAGCTAGTTAAAGCCTCACCCATAGGTGGAGTAAACTTTTTGTTCCACATACATGTCATCATTGTGGAGCTATGGTGGACAAATTTGGTCTGCATGGTTTGAGTTATAAGAGGGGGAGTAGGCGCCATCACAGATATGCAGCTCTTAATGAGGTGGTACGGTACACTGTGGTCTATCCTCAGCAGGTATTCCTCCTGTCTTGAATCCTCCAGCTTGTCCAAGTCAGATTGGAAGAGACCTGATGGCATGTCACTTATCACGTGGTAGCGTGGTTGGCCTCTTATATGGGATATGAATGTTCCAGACTCACTGGCAGTTTCCTATAGGCCTATAGCTATCTCCACCACCAGTGCGATGGCTACCCATGCTTAGTCCCTTAAAGAGGCTAAGTACTGTCACCTTTTCAACAACCATACTTTCACTCCCTTGGCCATTAAGTCACTAAGTTCTTTTGGGCCTAAGTCTCTCTTCTTTATACACAATTTGGGTTGCCACATCATGAGATATTCTGGAGAGGCTTTGAGTATGACTTACTACTAGGCCTGGGCGATAGTAGTAATACCACTGTCACGATATTTTCTAACTCTAATATCACGATAGTGTAGTCATTGTACTTAACTAATGCATCTATTAATTTGTATAGTCATAATTATACATGCATAATAATACTAGTTAATTTAAATTTATTTAATCTAAATTTTCATCGAGAAACACGGTCCCACTTCACATGCTGCTAATGTAGCAGGGACAGTGAAAACCTTGAGCAAGCTGTGCTAGCAAGTCATACCACTCTATGAGGGGAAGTTGCTATTGATTAGAAGATGATTACAGCTGTCAAGTGTGATTTATGCACATGCTCCATGCACACCTTGATAACTATCGTGACAGTTACAATAACAGTATCACTATCACGATAGATGGATAGATGTACACTATCACCATAGTGCAACTATTGATACTATCACCCAGCCCTACTTATTACTGTTTCATTGTGATTATTATTGTTATTGTTAGTATTATTATTATTTATTTATTTATTATTATTATTACTTCATAAACTACACAATTAAAATCATAATTGGGATATATTCTCATCAGTTTATAACAAATAAAGTTAGATAAACTAGTTCTCAGCATTTAAGAGCTTCCTTAATATCCTTGCTGTTCCTAAAGGCTGATTCACACTGCACAATTAACGTAAGGTAAGGCTATACGGTAAGACAGGAAGTGCCAATGGGCACCGTTTATGTAAGGTAAGAATAGAGATTATTTCTATTCTTACCTTACGTAAACAGTGCCCATTGGTTTATACCATAGATATTATAGACTACGTAACCGGGATTGGAAACAGATCACGTGATCCCATTCAAATCAATGTAATTATTCAGGTACAGTCTCTGTGACAGTGAAAGTCTGACGAAAATCCTTGACATGGCTGTAAAGAATGGTCTCTAGTGAAGTCCTGCAAGCTATTTCACCTGTACTTGGGCTCTTATAATATACTCACATGTTTATATTTTTCTTTGATACAAAAATAAAATGTGTTAGCTGTGTAAAAACAGGTGTTTAAAGCAAGTGCGCTCACCATGACAAGAGATAATGTCTTATTCTCCCTCCTGCAAACAAGCTTTAGCTACCCCGGTTTCATTTTATGATTAAAACTATGCACAAGGCCATGCTACATGAGAATAAACTGGTTAGTTCTGCCTGCCATATCACTGAGAGCAGAAATCCACCAAAATAACACCAAAAAGCGGCCGATCTGTTGTACCTCTCCCGAGCGAACTAAGCATAGAGACACGAGGAGAAAGGCATCATCATGATCTCTGGTGTTTTCTTCATGAGAATAAGCTATTTAGAACCAGCCAAATCACAGTAGAAAATTAATACAGCTCATCAAACATAACAATTCCTCTTGATTTTCACCATTTTGATGCAATTTCATGCATTAATAATCACACAGTCTGTACAAGTGACATCATCTGTTTCCAATCCCAGTTAAGTAGTCTATAATATCTATGTTTATACAGCACTTCCTGTCTTAACGTATTAGCCTTACCTTATGTTAACTGTGCAGTGTGAATCAGCCTTAAGAGTACTGTCTTCAGTACATGTTCCACTCGAACCTTGATCCCCAACTTCTTTACCCACTTCTCAAAATTATTGGTCACTGCAACCAGAGCACTAACCATGACTGGCACCAGTTCAACTTTCTTCAACTTCCACATTTTAATCATATCTTACTTAAATTCTTGATATTTCTCCACCTTCTCTTCCTCCTTGCTAACTACTCTGCTATCCCCTGGAATGGCCACGTCAACAATAACGCATTTCTTATCACCTTTCTCCAGCACTACCATATCCGGCACATCAACAATAACGCATTTCTTATCACATTTCTCCAGCACTACCATATCCGGCTTAGCCGGATATGGTAGGTTGCAGTAAGGTGATAAGAAAGCCTCAAGGAGTTAAGGAGTCTAGTGATATCAAAATATTGTGAGATGCAATGATTCAGTGTGACCATTTCATAGAACATAGAAAGCTGGTCCGGCTTCCTATGTTTTATGAAATGGTCACACTGAATCATTACATCCCACAATTTGACATCACTAGACTCCATAACTCCTTAAGGCTGATGCTCCCACCACTTCTCTGCTCACTGTAGCTTGTACTTCCCATACAACTCCCAGTGGAGAAACCTGGCCACCCCATCATGTTTCCTCTTATACTCCTTCTGGGCCAATTTCTTGCACTCACTGATGATATGGTACACACTCTCTCCTCATAAACGGCACAATGGAGACTCAATAGTCTTATCTATCTTACATTTAACATAATTGGTCCTCAATGCTTGCTCCTGTGCTGCACATATCAAAGCTTCAGTCTCACTATTCAGATCACTCCTCTGCAACCACGGCCACAAATTCACACAATCAGCAACTCCACTCAGCTCTCTATAGTACTTGCCTATACATCACTTTCTCCTTCCAATTGCCCACTAACTGCTCCACAAACTCCTTCTTATACTCATTCTTCTCTTTACACTTTTCCACATCAATCAGCTTACTCTTCCTCACCTTCTTGAACAAAAATTCACCAGAACTCTTCAAATACCATCCTAATCCATTGACTTCATTCTTGACACATGCTTCAAAGCCAATTAACCCTCTTAACCACCTCTCCTCCTTAATAAATACAGTCTATCAACATCACTCTTTGGATGCAATGCGCCATACATGGTCATAATCTTTCTAGTCCTCCAGTCCATTTTCTTCAGTTCTTCCTGTCTCCAGTAAACAATACCGCCACCATACTGAATCACTGCTACTACCCACATGTTAATCCCCATCACCTTGTCCTTCCCATTCAACTTTGACTTGAGAATCAATCGCAGTCTCCTGTAATATTCCCCCATAATCTTCTCCTTCATTGTCTGACTTAAAATCTCATCTTTCTCCAAATTGCCATGATACTGGTATCCCTCCTCTTCAATCTCTTTCACCACACCACCATTTGGCAAAATAACCCCTTCACTCTTCACCACCTTACCACGTTTCAATACTAACATACCACATTTAGCAACACCAAACTCTGTCCCAATGTCATCACTCACCAACTGCACTGTATTAACAAGACTCTCAATCTGCTCATCTGTCTTCCCATACAACTTTAAGTCATCCATGAACAGTAGATGATTAATCTTCACTTTCCCACTCGTCTCATTCCAGCTTTCACCTTACGCAAAACCATTGTTAGTGGGATTAAACAAACCACAAACATCAACAGAGAAAGACTATCACCTTGAAATATTCCTCGATTGTTTGGTACTTCTCCCAAAACAGTCCCCCCAGCAGTCAGCTCACACTTCCACTGACTCATACTCTTCTCAAATAAGTTCCTCGCGTTCTTGGCACATCCCATTATATCTAGACACTCCAGAATCCATGAGTTAGGCACCATATCATATGCTTTCTTATAGTCTATGCACACCAATGACAAATTAGCATGTCTCTTCTTACAATCTCTTAACAAAGTCCTATCAATTAACAACTGGTCTTTAAATCTTTTACTCCCTCTTTTACACCCTTTCTGCTCCTCTGGCAACAACTCATTACTCTCATACAGATATTCAGCAAGTACCCTTGTCAACTTCGACATCACCGGCAAATACAATTATTGGTCTAAAATTACTGACTACTGTCCCCTTTTTTGGATCCTTCTGACACAACAGTGTCTTTCCACAAGTCATCCACCCTAGTATCTCCCTCACACCTCTCAATAGCTCATTAAACTGACTTGCAATTCTTTTATGACATGTAGACAAATGTTAAAACCTTGAGCTTCATCTAACCCTAGTGTCTTCCAATTAAGCAGTTCTTTACTCTTCTTTTCTGCAAAACCGACACCTACCACCACATTCTCTTCCTGCTTACAGTGACTCATCTGATCCTTGACATCTCCAATCCATGTTGCCTCTCTATCATGCTCAACACCCCGTCCCCAGATATTACTCCAGAACTTCCTACTCTCTTCGCTATTAAGCACAACACTCACCCTCTTGTCCACACCATTCAATTTCTGGTAAAACCTTTTATAATCCACGTTAAACATCTGATTCTGTACATATTGTTCATGTCTCTGGTCATATCTTCTAATCTTTGTTTTCTTAACAACCAACCTCTACTTCAACTCCTCAACTACTACCTTAATACCCCTAACTCCTGACACTTCCAGTTCTTCTGTAGCTGACCTCGCATTTTCTGATAAAATATACTAATATCGCAACATAGCACCTTCACATCTCTTTCTATCCTCCGTTTCGACCATGGCTTTTTTCCTTTTTTCTCGTCACTACTGCACTCCATCAAATTTCACAACCCTAACTGTCTAGCCACCACTATACTTCCAGCTCTGAGAAAAGCATTCGTTTTTGTAATGCTATCTGAATTTACAAACTGCAAGGCAGTATTAACAGACTGGACACATTTATCCAAACTTCTTCTATCAACTGTCTTGAAATCAAACCGAAATGTCTTTGACTCATCCTTAACCACCTCCACTAACTCATGACACAAACTTTTAAACTCCTCTGGAATGGATTCAACAACACTAACACCTTGACCAACAACACCACAAGCCTGCACACTATCTATCACATCTCCTTGTACTTCACCATCACCAGCCACACTCATATCGCTCCCACCAACAGGACCACTGTTCTCATTGCATCCACCAGTCATTATTCTCTGTCTAATCTTATCCACTTAAACAGCACTCAGCTGCCGGTTCTTCTTTATCGCTCAAACCTGATTACAAATCCTTTGCTCTGATTCCTTGTAACCTTTCATTCTCCACAACAAATTGATACTTTTTATTTTATAAAATGAAAGCAAACAAATACATGTAAGTTCCTCTAAAGAAGCAGGTAGTAAAATAGCAGTTTATACTATAATCAGTTTTTAGTTGAGTTTGACAGGTGAAGCACCACTATAATTTTTTGTCATTAATGCTAGGAACTTGAAATTTGATATAGTTGCATAACGGGTTCTTCCGCATATCTGGATTAATTTTGGAGTATCTGGGTACTCTGGAAGGTTCTCAACAGGTTCTTCTGGTCTCTATCAAGGAAGCCGCAGTGATAATTCATTGCGTATGATGCTTGTGAATATCATTCACATCTCATTACATTTGTCAAAATATTCGTTCAAAAATAATATAAAGCAAAAGGAACACTCCAAACTGATAGATATTTCAATAGAAGGTCTTACACTCCATAAAAAGCCTCAGTTCTCTGTTTTACCTCTTGCATCATTCATAACTGCTGTTACTTTTTACAGCTCAGAAAAACCTTTTTAATCTTGCATTTCTTGATTCATTTTTAAAGTAAAAAAAATGACAAAAATCCTGCACATAAGATGTAGAGGATATAACAACAAAAAAACACAAAACTAAAGGTGTTAGATGAAGAAAAAGAGAGCACATTGTAATTTCAGGCATTTTATTTGCGTGTGTGGGCAAGGCTACAAGTGATATTTTGATGATTTAAACTTCCAATCAAACTGAACTGAAATTGACTATACTAGGAAACAATTGCTATGTCTATCTACAGCCTTCTCAATTGTCATTATTCTTCATTGTCCTCAATCTATGTTGCTTTATCTTACGTATTTGAGGTCCTTGTGAGCTATATGACAAAGAAACGTGATCATAGTATCCAAAGCAAAAATAAAACAGACAATAAAATGTCTTAGAGGTGTAGAAACTCTGAGGAGTTTGCTCACACTCTGCCTCATTTTGGGTGTGGCTAGGAATGACGTTTTGTGATGTAATATTTTCTGTATTGACTCAAATCAAACTGACTATACTGTACAGGTTCCCAATCACTGACCAGTCATAAAACATGCATAAAAAAATTATGGAACATAAAACATGTTGTATGCAGAAAACATGAATCAAATGATCAGGTACATGCTAAATTTTCTCACATGAAAGTCCATTGTATGCAGTGTGCTATTTTTCAAGTTTCGGTTTGAAGTACACCATCTTTCTTTGTCACTTAAGTTGTGGATGGCCACTAAAACCTGTGAGACTATATACTCCAGGCAAACAACTTTCAATGCATAACAATGCCTGAAAGCTCATATATAGCATCTGTTCCACAAGGATGAGCTTAAATTGGGGCATCAGTGCTCTCGCTAAGCATTTTTCAGTATTCAGACAAAGTGTCAGTACCAACTTCAATTTAATCTTTCATTTTAAATTTTAACCAGACATAGCAATACAGTGGAATCTCGCTTAACAACCACCTCTAAGTAACAGCCGTCTATCATATAACGGCCAAATGTCCAGGTCCGAATGCAAACTACACTTACTTGCCTGTTAAGGTAACCCCTGAAGAACAACCACCTCTCTATTGCATATAACGAGCACTCAAAATGTCCCCCACACAGCATAAAGCAATGAGAAAAACTTCTCTGTAACGGCCATGTGGCCACACCCATCACCTAGACCGGATGTGTTTGTCATAAAATGTCACCTAGAACCCCACCATCTAAATAAAATGGCTGAAAACTTGAGCTTGCCCTTTCTTCTTGCTGTAATTTGCTTATTTTTCCTGCTACCTCTTACATACTACCTGTAGGATCTTTGTACTTGTTATTGACCTGAGGAATGAATCAAGAGACTTAAGAAGGCAACACAGTTAATTATCTCTTAAGTTAAACAGAGTTAGACACTTTAAACTGAAACCCCTCAATAAAGACCACCCCTCTATAACAGCCAAAGGACCAGATCCCAATGGTGACCGTTATACAGAGGTTCCACTGTATTACAAAAATGCATGCATACATTGTAGAACATAGTGAGCTCAATAGTAGTTAACAAAAGTTAATTCAGCAATACAGTGCAAAACAAGCTACATAGCTACTCAACTGTTACGTACTGCTTCATTGCACATACGCAAACCCGCCAGTGCACGTGATCAGTATCAGGACAATAGTTTGACAGTGAATCAAGTGAAAAGCCTCCTAAACCGCCTTCTAAAAGCAAAAAACGGCAATAGAGATGAACTTGGAGAGCACAGACAGCCAAGAGAAGCATCCTCGAGTCTATTGAGAGCCTCTAGAGTGAGTGAGCACTTGCTACAACAGAACATGTGACTAGGCCGTACCGCAGTACTTCCTGGGCATAGCGCAGAGAAAAGAGTAATAAATCGTAGCAAAGTAAAATTACTACCTACAAACTACCTGCGTACAACTGTTGCTACTTAGCTTTTTTGCCTTGTACTGCATCAAAATCCTTTATCAAGAGCAAAGAATGCATATCTGTTTTTCGAACGTCCCTTCATTCTAGAGAAATCTTTGGACTCTTGCTTTATCTTGCTGACCAATTGTTTCTTGCATTTTATAGGCGCCAATTTATTTCACTGGGACCACACCCATTTTCAATGAAGATATTAAATGTTATTAAAAAGTGGAAGATTTTTCATACGGTGATGTACGTGTGCAGACATACAGACTTGCGTAATCGCAACGTTTATGTGGGGCTCACTCAGGCTTGCCCCAATGAGATCTAAAAGGAACAACTGAAAACAAGGTAGATAAACCTTTTTTTCTAGGCTATGAGCACTAGACGTGAAATGGTCGTTCAGAACTTCTAAATACATTTTATAATCTAAATCTTCTTGTGGTGTGCTCACACAAAATGAACGGGTTTAATGCCCAGAATGATGATATCATTGTTCTTGCCACCAAGTTTCAGGCAACATTGTAGAACAACCAATGATGTGGAAACTGCCGGACATGCCAGACATTGTCTGTTTACTGGCAAGTATGTCCCAGACTATAACATGTGGAAGGGCATTTTGTCCAAGAAATTTACAAAATTAAATTAATTAAGCAGATATTATTAACCACACCCAGTAGCTAATATGCAACATGTGGAGATGTTTATCAGAAGTAAAGAGACCTTCAAGCCCAACTACTACTGCCTCTTCTAAAAGATTACTTAACCAATGATAGTTGTCCGTTAGAGAATTCCCACACCTTTGTTCCTCCATAGAAGGACAACTACTCCTAAGTAGAGTATGACAATGCAGCGCTATGATGCTTTGTACACTTTGTGAAAAAAACGGGAAAACGCCTTCTCAATAGCAACTTCAGGACAACAGCTCTTACAGATCATAGCAAATTGCTGGAGCATACTGATGCTGTTTGTGCTACTCACGAGTCCTAAAAAGCTTAATTAAGCTTCGGCAATTGAACCTGCTAACAAAGTTATCTTGACACTTCTAAAGGCAGCATGATTCATAGCCAATGTAGACATAGCTATTTTGAAGTTTCAGGAACTTTTTAGCCTATTGGAAAGTTCATGCCCACACTTACCAATAAAATTATACCGCAATTAGCAAAATTCACGAAATTTATTATCCACAAAATATATGTGCTATACGGTATTGGATGAAGAAGAGTGGTTTACAAACATATGCATGTTTGCTAAAGCCATAATTGTCAATATAAAGAAAGATTCCCAGAACTACCAATAAGGTCATTGTTAGGATATTTAATCCTATCTCATACCCTTCAAAGTCTGCTCTACTACATAAATTAGGAAATGAAAATGTCACAGCATTGTTGTAGCTTTTTGGAAAGGCAAAAATA